AAACTCAAAAACATCCAAAAAATATGTACACAAGTAAAGGAATCGACATACGAGAGATCACTAAAAGGTTTTCAAAAACGGTGATTAACGATCCAGTGGATGGTGAAATTTCTGATAATACGAAAATACATATTAGTAAATCAATTGATTATGTTGACATTAATGAAGATTACGAATAGTTGTTTAAAATGTTTTATGATAAATAAGTTATTTAATAAATAATTTTTTTTTGAGATGTACTTTATATTAAATTTTAAAATTTTTGTTGTACTACTTAATCTTTTGTAATGTTTTTAGCTTTCAGAAAAGCTGATGCGTGCGGACTATACGTATATGTTGACGATCATGAAAAATTTTATTGGAAATTGGTTGTATGCTTTAATGTCTTTTCGTATAAATGTTTATAAAGTACCTGATATACAAGTTAGGGATGTTATCCTGCTTAAGTCTGCTAGTTTGTGCTTTGAAACCCGTTCGAACGCTGTTTGGAAACACATACATAAACTGGGTTTTAAAATATGCTTTAAATTATATACTATTAATTATGCACGCCTGAACATGTTAGTTTAAAACCTGCTGTATATTTATTTATTATATAATATATAATATATAATATTATGTATTCATTTCACTTGACATTTATTATATTTGTATTGCAGTGATTTATTTTTTTTTATTTACCCTCATATATTCAATCATACCTAATTTTCAAACAAAGGCTCACGCAAATATTTTCTTCCGATCTATATGGCTCAACTTTCGTTTTACTAATACTTATTAATTCATTCCACTTATCCCGATGATTACGTTTAAAATGCGTTTTTATCGTAGAAAAGCCTGTATTCATTGAATAGGCTTGATTGTAACGTTTGCAGTATTACTTGTCGCCACTTTCAATAAGCTCATCCCGGAAGGAATCAATTTTAAATCGTTTGAGGGACAGTTTTTTTATATGATGGGATAATGTTGAAATCAATGTGAGGCAAGTTCATTTATATGATTAAGTTGTTCGAGTGTGTTCATCGTACGAAGATAAAAAAAATGTTGAGTATTTTATAGTAATTGAAAATGCTTCTACAAGGAGATCCATGTTTTTTTTTTAAAAAAAATAACTTAACTTTTAATTAAAAAATAATGCAAAAATTCATTTACATTATTTACGTCATGGAAATTAACTTTTAATTTAAAAGAAAGAGAATACCTTCATTTAACTGGGGAAATTCACGTATTTTTTTAAGGTTAGAGTGCAGTTGCAGAAAAAATATGGTAGATATAAAGGTCCAAATTTTAGTTAAGTTTAGGTTTTTGAGGTTTGAACATTTTTGGTTAGTACTCCTGATGTGTGTTAGCTAGTACGTTTTTGAGATGAGCATCTCGGCAAATTTTCCCCCGGTGAAAATTAGCAATTCTCTTTAAAAAAAATTAAATTACAAATCATGAAACATTTATCAGGAACGGAGTTTCATGGAAGTGAAAACGAAGTGTATGGTTTACAGCCATGTTCGATGGTGTACGTCCGCGATTTCTTGTATGCCATTGGTCGGCGTGATCGTAGATCTTTCCTTTCTTGATTTTACGGGTATTTTCGGGATTGTCTTGTGAATTGCGCATTTGTGTTCTAGAGCTTTAGTTCTATAGTGAAATGCTAACAGTGTGTATCATATAGAATATGTAAAAGTAGTTGACATTGATTTTCAATTATAAGATTAACATGATTATGACACTTGCCGTAACAATTGGCATAAAACCACAAACCGTAGCGCAATACTGTCATCGCCATATTCTGTTATACTGGAATGAAAGATCAAGATTTTAAAGTTCATTGATACTGTAAATTGAGAAGACCACTAGAGTTCGAGCTAGTTTGAGTGCTTATAGGTATTATGTCCATACCATTAAACGTCTTCATCTGACCGCATTAAAGTGATCTGATTGGCTAATTGGATCACGTTCGACTTGACATCTGTCTACCTTTAGATATTTGATTGTTGTCACACTTCTATGCCACGTTTTATTTATTAGGCTTAGTATTAGCATTATAATAAAATTTGATTTATTAATGACATTTTT